GTCAAGACGCAACAGTCAGGTTGATACGTGGCGTTGGAATCCCGAAAACAATGTTTTGGCATGCTTCAGGGTCTTCAAACGGTTTTGTCCCAAAGAAAGCAAATCTTTCAATGAAAATGAACCGTTGTAGGGGCCTATGAAGAGGGAGCTTGGCGGGAGGGTTTATTCCACCATCGTTGATGACTCTTGGGTTTACACTGGTCCTCCTCCTCCTCCTCCTCCTCGTTCCTCCCTCAAGCAATTCTTGCTCGAGTGCATCATGTTGGATCGCACTCAGCCAGCTCCCGCGCCTCCACGAGGTGCTTGACACCGCAATCATAGTGCAGCAGATTCTGTCAGCGAGAGCGGGATCCCATAGCGAAGCCCGAAGACAATGACGAGCCCCTGGAGTACTCGTGCGGGATGTGGCACTCACGAATAATTCGGACTTGCTGAGCAATAGCTCGAAATTCAAGAAATATAATCGGTCCGTGAAGCTCTACGTCCCGAAGGGTGGGCAGGGCAAGGACAAGAGAAGGGCAAGGACATGGACCTGGAGCAGAAGGTGAAGTCAAGAGGTGCTGCAGGCGGCGCCACGGGCCAGGGAAACCAAAAGGCACCGATACCGCCACTCCCCAGGCCTCTCCTGGGGTGCGTTCTGACCAGGATTTCGAAGCGAATCCAGTGCTGGCGACGAGGGCGGCCCAGGAGGACCAACAAAGGGAAAACGAGGAAAGGGTAGACGTATGCGTACCTTTTCCTCCACTGACGGGCAACACCAACTGCCAAACCATGGTCGCCTTGTCAGTCCCAGCGGTGGCCAAGGACCCCCAGGCCAAGGAGCTACTCGAGGAGCAACCGGCTGTTACGAAGAAATCGGCCGCCGCACCGGACAAACCGTAGGGGGCCAAGGAGGCGGTGCGGTGCGACGCGCAGCTGGCGCGTGGCGTGACGTCAGAACGAAGTGCACGCACTCCTCCTCCGCCTCCTCCTTTCGGGTGTTTTTTTTTGGCTGCGTTCGGCATCCAGGGGCCCCCGCTGGGCCTCGGCACGCTCAAAGAACGACTCGGGACGAAAAACTGGCCCCATAGGGAAGTTGTCCAGTCCTTCCTGGGGCCCACGCATCGACAAGAATTGGAGCAGCCGGATGTCTGGGAAGGCAGTGCCCGACTTAAACCTAGATCTCAGGAGCGGCCCGAAAACCGTCGCCCCTCTCGAGCCCAAGGCGGTCCCTCCGTTCCGCTTGTCACGGCGGCTTGGAATGTGCCCGTCTGTCGAGGAATAAAAGAAAAAGCCGGCAAACAAATACAGTTTTCGGCATGACCTAAGGAACGATAAATAGGGAACGAAGCCCTTTTTCCCAAGTCTACGGAGTCCGAAGGAACACCAGGGGGGCTCGCCGCCAAAAAGGTAGCGGAACGCATGCAAGCCAAAGGAACGACCGAGCCCCTTGTGAAAAGTGAGTGTTCCTTATTATTAAAGCCCGACCCTGTAAACTTTCGGCGCTCCACTGGGATTTCTTGGATCTGCGCTGGACCCCCCTCCCTGGCGCGTGGAGCGCGCCAGGGGCGTTGCTGGAGGCGCCGCACGGGAGACCCAGCACAGATCCACGAAATCCGCGCGGAGCGCCAAAAGTCTATGCTTCAGTGTTTTTTGCCTCTTCTTCGAGAGAAGGTCGTGCACGTCTTGACTGCAGTCGGGCCCAGCCCTCCCCCCTCGCAGGCGGCGACGTCCTGCTCGTGCGCGCGGGCCCGCCGCAGCTTCTCGGCCTCGCCGGCCTCCGCCCGGGCCTGTCGGCGGCTGCGGGCGGCAACGAAAGAGATCGCTCGGAGCGCTCTTCGCGGCGGCTGCGGGCTGTGAGCCGTCCCTCTAACTACTAGAGGCCTCCTCGATGCGGTCCGAGTAGACGGGGTCGGAGGATCTCACCGCATCGCCGATGCATCGGTCATGCACTGGCGACGTCGGCGATGCAGCGGCGACGTCGGCGTAGAGAAAATGGGGCCCCACATCGAGCCGCATCGCAGATGCATCGCCGACGAATCGGCGATGCGCCGCGATCCTCCGACCCCATCTACTCCGACCCCATCTAGGAGGCCTAGATCTACGGCCTGGAGCTTTTGCTCAGCGTGCCGCGGCAGCGGTCCCGGCGACACGCTATGCCATGCGAGCGGATCGCGTGTCGCTTCGCTCCGTGGGGCGGGAGCCTGGGAAAAGCTGGAGACGCTGACGCCTCGGGACCGTGACGTGGATAGCGAGTCGCGCAGAAGCGCGATGGGCCAGAACCAGCGGCGCGATAATTACGCCAAGCCAGGGCTCCTGACCGTACCTCCCGAGATCCTGGCGTCGCAACTCCTTTCGCCACCCGCGACTCTGCCACGCTTCGGCCCCAGCACCCTCGCGGGATGGGCCCGGCTCGACACGCCCCACAGAGACATGGGCTCCAAGGCCCCAGTCGGCTTCGTTATCACGATGTTGCGTGTGTCGTGACGTCCTGATCCCGAGGCTTTGCCTCCTCCTGGCCTCGCCGTGAGGCTGCGCTCCTGCTGTCCCCCCCCCCTCTTTGGTAACTCAAGCGGTCCGCGCGGCCCGCGGAGCTCCGACCGGAAGAGCTGCGCCCTCGACCCGCGGATCAACAAAAAAGTGTGTCGCGACGTCGGAGCTCAATCGGAAGACTCTTCATGGGGGGGGATCCCATGGGGGGATAGGATCCCAGGGGGGGGATCCCATAGGATCCCTTGGGGATCCTGTGGGGGGGCAGGAGGGGATCCCATGGGGGGGATCCCCTCCTGCCCCCCCATGGGATCCCCCCCCCATGGAGAGTCTCCCGACTCAAGGCCCCTCGTGCGCGGTGCAGCGTCCCGGCCCGGGGCTCCGTCCTCGAGGGGCGGCGCGGCGCGCGCAGCCCGGGCACCCGGCGAGGCGCCTCTGCTCGGCGCGCCGCGGCGGCGGCGGCTTCGGCTTCGGCGCCGCGCCCTGCCGGCGGGCAGCGTGCCGCGCCGCTCCGCGGGGCGGGGAGCTGGGCAAGGCCTCGGGCCGCTGCTGCTCGGGGCCAGGACGCGGTTCGCGCGTGGCGCCGGAGCGAGGTGGGCCAGAACTGGCTCCTCCTGCTGCTCGTGCTCGTCCTTCTCCTCCTCCTCCTCCTCCTCCTCCTCGTCCTCGTCCTCCTCCTCCTCCTCCTCCTCCTCCTCCTCCTCCTCCTCCTTCCGAGGGGGAACGTTCGGAGCGAGGTGGGCCAGAACTGGCGGCGCGGCACGCTCGGCGAACGCTCCTGACCGTATCATGCTCGACCCACGTCCCCGACCCGTGCACTGCCGGATGGGCTAGGCAGCAAAGGGGGGCTCCAGGGGCCCGTTCCGAGCCTTGGAACAGTGAAAGAACGACTCAGGTTATGTTGCTCCCATCGTACTTAAGGACCACATTCCCAAGAATAATTTCGAGCACCCAGAAAGGTGTCGAAGCAGTGTCGAAAGGGTATCGCCTCCCAGGGCCCGACACGTGAGAACCTTCCAGCCCCGGTACTTTCCTGGTGCTCGAAATTCGTTCTGGTGGCCCAGGCTAAAGCCGGGTTAGCACATCATCAGACTCAGGGGTTAAAAGCCACGGCCTCGGGTGAGGCCCCGGGGTCCTACAACCCTCGTCAAAATTAACCTCAAAAATGTCTGACGTGGTTGAACTGCTTGTCGGAAGATCTGGGCCCGAGTATCGATGAGTGCGGGGTACTTGCATGCGCCGCCCCTCCAATGTCGGTCGACGTCAAACTTTCGAGTCAACTTCGGTCAGACTATCTTTGCCCTCGCCCCGACATTGAAGGGGCGGCGTGTCGACATTGAGGGGCGCGCCGAAATCGAAATGACGTGCCAGCAACTGTTGAGGTTAATTTTGACGAGGGCAGCAGGATCCGCTTCCACCAGGACCTCGTCCAAAGGCAAGGCCCTGCACGGGCCAACCTGGCCTCGGGGCCGCCTCCTGCCCCTCACGGCCACGAGCTCCCCCCGGACAGGCCGTCCGCTGCTCCTGCACGCACCACGACCGCCCGGCATGGCCCGGCGACAGTGGGCAGCAGCCCAGGGGCCCCAAGAACCCTTCACGGGGCCCCCAGCGAAGACAACATGATGTGTGTGGTCTGCACGCCGCGTGAAACAAGAGATTGAATTGCCTCGCCGGGGCCGGCTAACACGCAACACGCCCTCCCTTTTCGGGCATTTGGCGGCCTTTCGGTCACTCTTGGCCACCTGAAGGCTAAACACAAGAACGTGTTGCGTGTCACCTGAGTCGGCCCCTGGACGGGCTTTCTGGCCACCAGCCCAAACGGCTGCCCAGTGGTACCGGACAACCCCTGGAGCTCAAGACAGATCGAAGGCAGCCCAGACGGCTCAAACGCGGCAGCGAAACAGCCGAGGACCGCCAAAGAAAGTGCCGAGACAGACCAAAACTGGCCAAGGACAGCCTGTATACCCTCCCGAAGTTGCCCCAAGACCTCTCAAACGGCCTCAGGAATCTCCCCTATGTCCTGGTGACCCCTCGAAGGCAGCCCAAACACTCTCAGACGGCCCCACAGTAGCCGCCGAAGGAAGAAATAGATACCTTTCCAGGAACACTCACACAGGCCCAACGAGGCATCGCGATTGCGCACCAGGAAATACAGACGCAGCCTTACTCGAAATGATATGTGGCGGGTTCAGAAAACCCTGAACCAAACAACCTTGTCATCTTCTGCGAGCCAGATTATTACTTCCGCCGAGATTCCCCTGGCGAGGCGGCCTCGTTTTACTTCCGCCGCCTTCAGCGGAGCAAGAGATGTCAACTCCTTCGATCCTCGAATGCGAGGCCCTGTCTTGAATACCTCACGTGTACCAGCCACGCCCCATGGGAGCCCCGTTCGGAGCAGGGCGACTTGAGACAAGAGCGCGTTTCGTTATTCCCCACATGTTTCGTGGGGTTCTGGTTTCTTCCCACCCGCGCCGCACCCGCGTCTGCCTCAACACCTCCCGCCTCACCCGTTCTCCTCCTCCTCGTCCTTCTCCCCTTCACCCACACGCAACACATGCACTGCACGTGCATCAGACACGCGTCTACATGCAGCCGCACGCATGCAGGTGTGGCACTTTCCCGACACCATAGGAGGTGCGCAGGGGGGGGTCCTTGAGCGCGGCCGCTATCCGTGCCGACAGTCCAAGGCAGAGCAGGAGTGGCACTTTCCCGACACCATATGGAGGTGCGCAGGGGGTGGTCCCTGAGCGCGGCCGCTATCCGTGCCGACCGTCCAAGGCAGAGCAGAGTGGCACTTTCCCGACACCATAAAGGGGTGCGCAGGGGGTGGTCCCTGAGCGCGGTCGCTATCCGTGCCAGTCGTCCAGGGCCATGCAAGCGTGGCACTGTCCTGACACCATAGGGGGTGCGCGGGTGGTGGTCCCTGAGCGCGGCCGCTATCCGTGCTGGTCGTCCAGGGTATAGCAGGAATGGCACTTTCCCGACACCATAGGGGGTGCGCGGGTGGTGGTCCCTGAGCGCGGCCGCTATCCGTGCCGGTCGTCCAGGGCATAGCAGGAGTGGCACTTTCCCGACACCCAAAGGGGTGCGTAGGAAATGGTCCCTGAGCGCGGCCGCTATCCGTGCCGGTCGTCCAGAGTATGGCAGGAATGGCACTTTCCCGACACCCAAAGGGGTGCGTAGGAAATGGTCCCTGAGGGCGGTCGCTATCCGTGCCGGTCGTCAAGGGCATAGCAGGAGTGGCACTTTCCCGACACCATAGGGGGTGCGCAAAGGGTGGTCCCTGAGCGCGGCCGCTATCCGTGCCGACCGTCCAAGGCATAGCAGGCGCGGCACTTTCCCGACACCATATGGAGGTGCGCAGGTGGTGGTCCCTGAGCGCGGCCGCTATCCGTGCTGGTCGTCCAGGGTATAGCAGGAATGGCACTTTCCCGACACCCAAAAGGGTGCGAATGAGGTGGTCCCTGAGCGCGGCCGCTATCCGTGCCAGTCGTCCAGGGCATAGCAGCAGTGGCACTTTCCCGACACCATAGTGGGTGCGCAAAGGGTGGTCCCTGAGCGCGGCCGCTATCCGTGCCGGTCGTCCACGGCGCTGCTGTCCGTGACGGTTGTTCAGGGCATAGCAGGCGTGGCATATTCTCGACACCACGAGGGGTGCGCACGGGGTGGTCCTTGAGCGCGGCCTCTATCCGTGACTGTGGTGCTCAGGGCACATCGGTACGCAAGTTTGCTATCCGTGCCGGTCGTGCTCAGGGCACAGGGGAACGCTGGCGGAGCAGGCGTGGCATATTCTCGTAACCGTAGGGGGTCCGCAGGTGGTGGTCTCTGAGCGCGGCCGCTATCCGAGCCGGTCGTCCAGGGCGCAACAGGCAACAGGCGTGGCACTTACTCGACACCATAGGGGGTGCGCAGGGAATGGCCACCAACGTCATTCTCACATGCTTCACTTCAGCTATCATCACTCCAGCCGTGATATAAGTATGTGGGGTTCCTCAGTCGTGTAATTTTCGGAGATAGTGGGTATAATAGGGGGGGTAGGGGGTATCATGTAACGCCTCCCCCCCGCCGTGCGGACGGCGGCAGTGCCCAGAGCGCACTGGGGGGGGAGGGGCGTTACGTTAGGGGGGGGGAGGGGGGTCGGGGGGCTATTATGCCCATTATGCCCCAAACAAAAAAACACGCTCCAACGGCAGCTCAAAATCAGCCTCCAGACCCTGGACCCCTCCCGGAGTCCGAGAGTGCAAATTTTTAGAGCTGTGCCCAACGGTGGCGACGAGACCCCCCCCCAAATGCCAACTACCGTTAGGTCGGACATGTCCCCCTACAGGCGTTTTTTTCGGCGATAAAAATCGAAATGCGGAACAAAGACTAACACAAATATCAAAACATACTCCAAACATCGTCCCAATCTTATCTTTGACGATTTTCGAATATTCCTCCTGTAGAGGGACATGCCCGACTTAAAACTACCGTTGCCTCAACTCGCCCTCCTCTGACATGGGACCACCGTGCCTGGGCAGCAGCTGGACGCTCAGCTCGAGCGTTAGAAAGCAACTCACGGAAGCTATTGGTCGTCCCCATGGCACCCGATAGCGCGCACTGCAGACATGATGCACCTTCCTCGCATGGCGCTGATTTGCGATATTGGTCGCTGTTGGGCGCTACTCGAGCGCTGTTCGCCGCTACCGGGCGCGATTTGGCGCCATTGAGCGCTGTGCGCCGATGTGTTCGATACTAATCTACAATCAAAACTTATAGTAAAGATGCGCGGTGATGATGCAAGGTACTTGGGCGTCCATGCCGAAGCTTTTCGAGCGTGGCTGACCATCGTAAGGGGTGAAGGATGGACCAAGGAGGCAAGGATGCGAAGGGTACCCTTAGGAAAGTGACCTATCCATATTTAGAGGAGCAAAAAGCAGCAATAACATAACTCCCACAAGCCCTCTGGGCGTAGGCGGTCTAGGCAGGCTCCTCTTCTAACCCCTTTCTTCCATTTCGGGGAGAGGTTTACCTCTCCCCCCTACCCCCTTCCCCATGGACGTGGACGGGGGTGGTCGCGGGTAGTTGGAGCGTCCAAGATGACCCACGACGGCTCCAACAGCACCTCGTAAAGCCCAAGATGACCTCCAAGATGTGTCAAGATAGCGCAAGATGCCTCAAGATGGCTTTCAAGATGCTCCAAGGAGCCCCAAGAACGCTCCAAGACGGCTCCCAGGGGCATCCGAGACCTCCAAGGAGTTCCCCAAGAGGCCAACATCCTTCGAATATCCAAGGAACATCAAACTGTTGTTTTGCTTTCTCGCCTTTTCGCTTCCGATGGCCATCTGAGGCCTCAAGATGGCTCCAAGATGGCCTGAGAGCGCCCCAGGAGAGGCCCACGAGAGCCCCAAGACGGCCCCAAGAGCGCTCCAAGAGGTGTCGTCAAGGAGGCGATTGTCGGTGCTACTGAGGGGGGAGGCTAATTGGAGCTCCCCTCTGTTTTGATCGATGTCCTCCAAGGTGGCCCCAAGAGCGCCCCTGAAGCTCCAAAGAGCGCCCAAAGAGGACCCCAAGAGGCGCCCAGGCAGCTCCAAGCGGCCTCCAAGAGGCTCCCAAGAGACCCCATACGAAGCCTCAAGAGGATCCCAATTACCCAACTCTCCTCCCGCCTTCTCCTCCTCCTCCTCCTACTCCTCCTCCTCCTTCTAGTCGTCCTCGTCCTCGCCCTACTCCACCTCCTCCTCCTCCTCCTCCTCCTCCTCCTCCTCCGACGACGACGACGACGACGACGATTCCTCCTCCATCCTCCCCCTCTTAGGGTATATGACGGCTTCCCCCGCCCTTTGTTCTTCTGCATGCTCCCCCACTTCCCTGATGACCTCACCTCCCCTGGGCATCTTTTCTGGATGAGCTGGTGGGGATACAAGAAGCGGCACCAATTTTTGACGATCCGCGCGAAACTCTTGGATATGAGCTGCAGCTCCCCTCCCTGGCGCGCGGAGCGCGCCAGGGGCGGCGCCGCAGGCGCCGCCAGGGGGGCCCAAGCGCGGATCCAAGAAATCCGCGCGGACCCCCGAAAATTTATGGTCATGCCGTTTTGTCTTCTTCGATCCTTACTATCGGCTTCGACTGCATTTGCAATCCCTGAGTTATCATCTGACGACCGTTAAGTCGGGCGTGTCCCCCTACAGGCCGATTGAGGACGAAAACTAAAACATGGCCAACACATGCACAACGAATGCATGCTCAACCACAGCCGGAAAATCCTCCCCAGACTATTTTTGTTACTATTGTTTTTTCTATTCAACTATTTTCTACTAGTCCTTCCTTCTGCCCCCCTTTCCGTTCCCCTTCCCCTCCCCCTTCCTGCCTCTTCTCCTCCCGTGACCTGCCCCCGTCTGCAGTCAGCCGCCCTTCTCTATCTTCACGTCTGGCTGCCACACGCGCAATCTTGCCCACGCGTTCGCAGGACGCAAGGCTTCAGTCAGCCAGCCTGTGGAGGGACAGGCCCGACGCACGACGCACGCGCCCCGGGGACCCCCCCCGGCGGCGGGGCGGCCGGGCGGCGGCCCTCGCCCGCTGGCCTCCTGGCGGAGCCGGCAGGCGCGCTCCTGCGGCCGATATGCGGGGCCGCGGGGAGGGGCCGAGGCGGAGGGGGCGTCGGCTGCACCAGGGAGCAGACGTCCAGCCATACAGTCGGGGCGTTGACCTAGGGAACCCTAAATATAAGGAACGAGGCCCCTGTTTTCCATAAGTGAAACTTCGATGTCCTATCGAAAACATGAGGAGAACCTGAGGCAAGCTGTGAAACAATCCAGGAACACCGAGCCCCTTCCCAACGAACAGGGTTCCTTCTTCAGCGCCCCGACTGTACCAGAGGAACGAACACGGCATGAATCCAAACTTTTGACGCCTCGCGGATTTCTTGGACCGGCGCTGGATCCCCCTTCCTGGCGCGCGGACCGCGCCAGGGGCGGCGCCGGAGGCGCTCACAGGTCCCAGTGCAGATCCAAGAAGCCCGCGCGGAACGCAACAAAAGTTATGTTTATGCCGTTGCTTGTGCTTCGAAGTCAGGTCAGCACTGGGCCCCAGAGGTTCTGCTTCAGCTCGCCATCTCTCCCTGTGCATGCTTCGACCTCGTGCGCTCATGCTTTCGCGAAATGATCCAAGCGGCTCCTCGATTGTCCCCGCCGAGAGCAAATGCACACGTCCGAGCGATGCCGAGTCAGAGGAATGAAAGCACTGCCTCGGCGGAAACTCCCGGGAAATCCGCGCGGACTTCTTGGACCGACGCCGGGCCCTCCCTATGGCTGCGCCTCCGGCGCCGCCCCTGAGGCGCCCGTCGCGCGCCAGAGGGAGGGGGGGGGGGTCCAGCGCTGATCCAAGGAATCCGTGCGGACCTCGGGAATATTTCGGCGGTGGACAAACCTCCCTTTAAAATGAAAACGGCCTGGGGCCGAAACCGACGGACCTGGACCCGCAAGAATAACGGCCGCGACGCCCTCTCGCGAACCGTCGGCAGCCAATTCGCTCCTCGACGTGTGAGGGTAGGAAGTCCATCAACCTCCGCTGAATTTGATGCTGTGCAGATTGCTCGTCTCCTGTCCTCGAATGCCGCCAGAACGCTCGAGCGCTGGCCTGGCCCTGGCCATCGATCGGACGTCCATTCCCTGTGTTTTTGTTCGGTTTCGTGCGTGGTTGTTTCGCAGGATGATCCAGGACGCTCCTTAATATCATGTTGCACCCGTCGTTCTTAAAGACCATATCCCAGGACAAATTTCGAGCTCCCGGAAAAGTGTCGAAACAATGTCGAAACAATGTCGGACGAGGGTCTCCCAGGGCCCGACACGTGAAAACCCCTCGAGTTTCGGTATATATCTGCTGGTGCTCGAAATTCTTTCTGGTGGTAGAGGCAAAAGTAGGTTGGAACATCATAACCGAAGGAGCAGGAGGATGGGGAGGGGGAGGAGGAGGAGGAGGAGGAGGAGGAGGAGGAGGAGGAGGAGGGAGGAGAGGAGGAGGAGGAGGAGGGGGAGGAGGGAGGAGGAGGAGGAGGAGGGAGGAGGAGGAGGAGGGAGGAGGAGAGGAGGAGGAGGAGGAGGAGGAGGAGGAGGCGAATAATCCCCGCCGAGAAGAAGTGCACACGTCCGAGCGATGCCAAGGGCCTGCTCCGCTGTGGGGCCCGCCGCCCCAGGACCGCACCGAGTCGGGCCGATGCTGCGCCGCCGCCCGGGCAGCTCCCGGGAGGGCCCCACCGGGCCGCGGGCGGAGCAGACAGCTGCTTCGCGAAGGGGCCCAGGGACGCACACAAAAATACACACACAAATCCCAGGATCCCCGCTATGCTTTTCAATATGTTGGGGTGATTTTCGTCTTCCCCCCCACCCCCGCCATTCTCCCAGATTTTCCTGGGAATCGACGATTCAGTATGTCTATGCTTTTTCACCTCCTGACTTTGTCCCGAGCACGCAGGGAGTTGGCCCGGGTCAAAGTGAGCGACGATCAATAACGGGTCTTAGGCGAGACGACATAGCGACCTTACGCGGTGGTTTTCGCGGGCCGCCAACGCGGCACGCCAGTGGAAGCGACGTCGCTTACGCGTGAGCTTACGCGGGCAGCTTGCGCGCCAATGTCGGCGCAGACGACCCCTTTTTTTGCGTCGCTCAAGTGGCCCTTGATGCGCGGCTTTCGGGGGCGCCGCGGGTGGGCGGAGGGGGAGGGAATCTCCAAGCGCGCAGGCCAATGCTGCTGGGAACCCCAGTGGGCCGGCACCCGAAGGTCACTCCGACAAAGCGTCACTCCTCACGTGCAGCTGGCGAAAGAACGGCGAAACCGACGAGAACACCTCAAAATTCAGCACGCGGGACAAATTGGTGCGGCGAGTTGCGTCTGACTTCCTGCGCGCATGCCCGAACATTCGGGATGAGAGGCAGTGCTCCTGCACGGGGCGGTGCGCCGAACAGTCCGACATTCGACTCTGGCGCTTGCCTTCTCTGCCTTCTGGGTGATCGCTGCGAGCATGACATGGGGTCATGAAGCCAGCAGGGTACAGTCGAGCGTAGAACATAAGAGTATCCCTCAAGAACACGAGACCCTCCGCCGGCCAAAACGGAGAGAACACCCACGGGTAACTACCCACCCCAAGGTGCACACGAACATCCAACAAACACGAAGAACCTTTGGGTACCCTCCCGTGACCGACCTCGATCTTATACCTCGGTCCGACTGAAAGTTGGTCCTCACAGCTTTGAGAAGTCGTCGTGAGCATGACACATGCCAGCATACTGCCCTCCTGCCCGCGACAAAACATTTCAGAGAGTTGCACCCGGCCTTGACTACAGCTCTCAGGCCAACAGAGAAGAGGCAAGAGGGTGGGGCGGGCAAGAGGTGGAGGGGGAAGGCGCGGTGAAGGCAGGAGCAGCCAACATCGAAAAGCAGAATCGGACCAGGATCAGATCGGACCCTGCATCGGATCGGCCTGCACCGCCACGGAGCTGCAATAGAATCGAATCGAATCGGCCGCGCCAGGATGCACATCAGCGCCAAGCAATCAAACATCGGGCCACGTCGGATCGTCGGGACATCAGAATCGAACCGGAAACCGGACTGGGCAGCCGACACCGAGATCCAATCGGGTCGACCGGATCGAAACCCAAACATCCGATGTCACGATTCTTCAATGCGGAATCCCTGAAGTCCCGGATCTTTCCTCCCCAGAGCCGACTTTTTCCGCCTGGGCCCATGTCTCACGGCCCTGGGACTCGGCAAGGGCACCCCGCGGCCGAACGTCGAAACGCCTTCGCCTCGACTTCTTCCCGTGCGTCGGACGTCTGGCGGACCCCGACAGGGCGAGGGGGCCCGGTGTGCTGGAGGCCCCCCGCTGGGGGGGGGGGGGCGCGCGGGACCCCGACAGGACGAGGGGGCGACGGCGCGCGGGGCCGCTGGCCTCGCAGGGGCCCAGGCTGCTGCGGAGCTCGGCTGCCTGGCGGCAGCCCCCGGTCCCCGCGGCCCGCGGGAGGTCAGAGCCCCGAATCATCAGGGGTGACTCGGGTCAGGGCTAACTCGGGTTCGTTTCTCGGGATTCCGAACCCGACTTACCCCGGACCCGACTTACCCGGGATAATTCGGGCGTCCAGAGCCCCGAATCTTCAGGGGGTCAGGGCGAACTCGGGTTCGTTTTTCGGGATTCCGAACCCGACTTTCCCTGGACCCGAGTAACCCCGGATAGTTCGGGCGCCCAAGGAGGGGTGGAGGGGGCGGGTGGTCCGGGGAGGCCCGGCGGCCCAGCGGAGGCCCAGGGGCGGCCCAGGCGAAGGGCGGGGGGGCGGGGAGGAGGATCGGAGGACGGAGGACGGGCAGGCGGCACGGGCCGGCGCGCCTCCTGCAAGGGCGGAACCCGAGCAGGAGGTTCGGTTCGAGAGGGCTGGGGCCTATCCCCAAGGGGGAGGAGCACCAGCAGCAAGAGGGCCCCGACCACACCTCCCCGGTCGGGGCGGGGGGGGGACGGGGGACTGGCGGGGAGACAGGGGGGCGCGGGGCGAGTGGAAGGCGGAGGAAGAGAGGCGGGCAGTGGACAAGTGCGCATTCGTCGAAGGCTTCTGGTTCGTCGGAGGCACTCGCGCATTGCGAACTCCGCCCATCGTGCGTCCCACCTCGGGGATCTGACCCGGGTCAATCCACATTCGGGTCAGTCGGGCTTTGCAGATTCCCGCAAGATCCTGCAGGAACCTACGCGCATGACCGGGCCAATGCAGCCCTCGCTCTGCAGGATCCTGCAAGGCCCGGCGCCCTGGCTGACCTCCGTTTGCATGGACCCGCATCTCAATCTCAAGGCTCCCGACCACCCAGTTCTAACGGCCCCGGGACGAGAAAGCGACCTTTAGAGCTCGCAGCGTCAAGGAACCTCGTACCTCAACCAACGAGACAGCGCGTTTCACGGGCGCTTGCTTTGAAAATATTCCGCGGCCCCCCCTCCCCAGCGCCGGCGCTGGCGCTCCCGCGGCGCTGGCGGCGGCCAGCTTCGCCGACGGCGGGGGCGCAGCAACGATGACAAGAGAGGGCGTAGGGAGGGGAGGGGGGGGGTCCAAAACCTCCCCCCCCTTGGCGCTGGCGCTGGCGCCGGCGGCGGCCAGCAGCGCCGACGGCGGGGACGCAGCGACGATGACCAGAAAGGGCCAAGAGGCCGCAGAGGGGAAACACAAATCGCCATATCGAGCCCTCGCCCCCGAGAGCCACCGAGAGGCCCTTCGGAAGGTCAAGGAGCCTTCACACATGCTCCCCAGAAGCCCCCGAGATCCCTCTGACAAGAACCTCAAGAGGCATCCAGTAGAACTTTGACCCAATTCCAAAACACGGGGGCGGGAAGACACGAAGGCCACACCACCACCACAACCACCACCACAGACCACAACACCACCACCACCACAACCACCACCACCCACCACCACCACAGCCACCACCATCACCACTACACCACTACACCACCACCACCACCGCCGCCACCACCACCACCAAAGACGCCACCACCACCACAAGCACAACAACCCACCACCACCACCACAACCACCATCATAAACCACAACCACACCACCACCACAACCATCACCACCACCGCCACCACCACAACCAAAACCGACCACCACCACCACAAACCACCACACCACCACCACCACCACCACCACCACCCATCACCCACCACCACCACCACCAGCATGACCACCACCACCAACACCACAGCCAATCACCACCACCACCACAAAGCACCACGCCATCACCACCACCACCACTGCAACCACCACTACCACCAACACAACCACCACCTCAACCCACCACCAGCACCACAAACCACCACACCACCACCATCACCGCAGCCACCACCACCACGACCAAAACACCACACCACCACCACAACAAACCACCACCACTACCACCACCACCACCAACATCTACCACACCACCACCACCACCGCCACAACCACCACCACCACTACCAGCAGCACAACCCTCCACCACCACCACCACCACCAACAAAAACCACACGCCACCACCACCAACACAAACCACAACACAACCACAACCACCACCACCACCACCACCGCAAACCACCACACCAGCACCGCCACTACTGCCACCGCCACAACCACCACCTCACTACCAGAACAACCTATCACCACCATCACCACCACAAACCACCACACCACCACAACCACCGCCCTCACCACCACCACCACCAGTACCACCTTCACAACCCACCACCACCACCGCCACCACCACCACGACCAGAAACCACCACACCACAGCCACCACAGCCACAACCACCACCACCGCCAACACCACCGTCACCACAACCCACCACCACCACCACAAACCACCACCATCACCACAACCACCACCACCACCCACCACCACAACCACCACCACCCACCACCACCACAGCCACCACCACCACCACGACAACCACCACCTCCACCACCACCACCAGCCCACCACCACAACCACGACCACCACCACAACCACTACGACAAACCACCACACCACCACCGCCACCACCACCACAACCCACCACCACCACCACAAATACCACCACCGCCACCACCAGAAACCACCACACCACCATGACAACCCACCACCACCGCCGCCGCGACAACCACCACCACCTGCCACCACAACCACCATCATGAACCACCACTTCCACCAACACCACCACCAACCACCACACCACCATCACCACCACGACCACCGCCACCACCACAGCCCACCACCACCACCACCACCACCACCACCACCACCACCACCACCACCACCACCACCACCACCACCACCACCACCACCACCACCACCCACCACCACCACCACCACCACCACCACCACCACCACCACCACCACCACCACCACCACCACCACCACCACCACCACCACCACCACCACCACCACCACCACCACCACCTCCGAGAGGTCCCACGAGACGCCCAAGAGGCGCCCAGGAGGCCTCACAAACGCCCTTCAGATGCCCCCGAGAGCCTTCCGACGAGAAGTCAGGAGGCATCAATTAGGACTCTGACCCAAAACCAAGGCATGGTGGCGGAGCGTCGTCGTCGTCGTCATCGTCGTCGCCGTCCTCGTCGACGCTCCCTGCCGCAGCCACCAGCCGCCGCAGGCGCCGTCGCCGGCCTAGAAAAGGAAAACGTCGTCTTCATCGACGCTCCCCGCCGTCGCCGCCAGCCGCCGCCGACGCTGGCGCCAGCCCGAGGAGAGGGAGAGAGGAGGGGAGGGGGTGGGGGTTCGACCCCCCCCCCCCATCACAGCAGAAGGGGGGGAGGGGTTCGAACCCCTCCCCCCTTCAATCCAGCGGGGGGGGAGGGGGTCCGGTTCCAAACCACCCCCCTCTTCCAAGCGCCCACAGAACGCGCTCTTTCCAACCTTCGAACCTTCAAGTACAAGACTCGAACCGCCCGCCCCCGAAGCGCCCGATAGCCCCTGCCACGTCCGCCTGCGACTGGGCCTGGAAGGGCAGAGACGGGGTCCCACCCGGTTCCCCCTCTGCAGTTGCCCCGCCATTGATCGAAGCGACTGCTGCTGCCTGAACGCTCTTGCTGCTGAAGGAGGTCGGGCGCACGCGTGAGCACAGCATTATGCGGTCAACGCGTGCAGAAAGGATGCACGACAAGGATGCAAGGGCCTTTGGGAGACCGTGTCAACACTTTTCGAGCGGGGCGTGGCCAGCAGAAGTGGCCAATGATGTGTCGACGGAGAAGGATGCAAGGCTGACTCTTGGAAAGTCGGTCATCCTTCCTATTCGCTGTGGCCGTGCCACCGAGCAGCGCGTGCCTAGCAGTCCACAGAGACCTTGGGCGGCGCTTCTTGGGGGGGCGAAAAATGCGGGGGGGAAGTCGGTCATCCTTACCATTCGTTGTGGCCGTGCCACCGAGCAGCGCGTGCCCAGCAGTCCTCACCGACCTTGGGCGCCGCTTCACGGGGGGGCGATAAATGTGGGTGGTGGGGGGGGGGAGAAAGGTGCACCTGCCGGGTCCTAAAGGCCCCCTCTAGGGGCCCTAAAGGGTCCCTCTTCTGCAGACCTTGCTGCTTGAGCAGGGGCTGACCGTCCTGGCATTCCTATAGTCCTACCACGAAATGTTCTTAGAACCCCCAAATGTTCTAAGAACAAAAACAATGCTCTTAGAACATAAACCCGATGTGTTCAAGCAAGACAGACTCCGCCAGACATGTTCTAAGAACATTTCGTGGGAACCAAAAAAAAGTTGTTAGCACATTGTTTGGTGGGGCTATAGGCGAGCCGGGACGCTTCGCCACTGCTTGAGCTGCCCCCCCCCCCCCCCAGGTATCGCCCCCCCTCACGCGGCCTCCGACGACCTCTGGCCGCAGCGGCACCGGCTGGCGCGCCTGCCGCAGGGCAGGACCCTGCTCCTCCTCCTCGCCCTCCGCCGCTTCCTCCACTCCGCGGCCGCCCTCTCCCGCTCCGCCGCCTCTCGCGTGGGGCCTCACTCGCGCTCGCGCGCTCCGCTCGAGCTCGCATGGTCCAAACTCCTGGGGAAACCAATGGGTGCAAATACCGCTACTCCCCGGACCTCTCCCTGGGTGCGCTCTGGCCAGGATTTCGAGGCGAATCCAGCGGTGGCGACGAGGGCCTCCGAAGAGGCCCCCAAAAGGCCGAACGAGGCAAGGGTAGAGGTACGGGTACCTTTTCCCCCTCCGAACTCTGCCCGCGTCCGCTGGCGAGAAGTCCCGCCCCTCTCGCTCCGGGTGTTCTTCCACGGGGGCGGGGGGGGGGGGGGCGCAATCCACGCGGGGTGAAACCACTTTTGATTCGCGGGTCGAGAGCGCACCTCCTCCGGTCGAAGCTAAGCGGGCCGCGCGAAGCTTGAATTAAGGCGGGGTGAAAACACGGGCGCCCTCCGTGCACCTCTCGGGCCCGCGGTGGCAGTTTTGGGGCTGCTTCGGGCCCCTTCGGGGCAGCTTTCCTGCACGGTGGAGGCCAGTCCACAAGGAACCTTCCACAGGAAACCCAACCCTGAGTCCCCAAGACGCCCATGGATTGTTGATGTGGGTCACGCTTCCCATGGACAAAAACATAGTTTCCCAAGAAATCCACGGCACCCTGGAGGCAAGCAGGGGCCTTCTTGGCATGGGCCCCCACTGTAATCCTCGCTCCCCCCCACGATGTCTCCCCCTTGGATAAGCCCACAGATACCGATACCACTGTACTCCCCAGACCTCTCCCGGGCCGTGCTTAGCTGCCCCGATACGCAACACGCAACACGTAGCGTATGGAGCTCAACACGTACGCTGGAAACGTAGGTCCGACGCGATACATTCGCCAAAACGTGGCCCAATACGTGGAGCCAACACGCAACGTATTGACACGGACGTCTTGAACACGGGACGTATTGCGTATCAAAACGGGCTTCTCGAGGCAACTAAGGCCCAAAGATACCGATACCACTGTACTCCCCAGGACCTCTCCCGGGGGGGCAGTCTGACCACAAATCTTGAGGCGGAGCCACGCGTGGCATGGAGGGCCTCCCGGGAGGCTTCCAGAAGCGAAGATGAGGCCAGGGCAGAGGCATCGGTGCCTTCTCCTCCTCCGACCCCCGCTGTCGTCCAGGAGGAGGAGGCGGAGGAGGAGGAAAAGGGGGAAGAGGAGGAGGAGGAGGAGGAGGAGGAGGCGCGGGAGGAGGAGGAGAGGAGGAGGAGGAGGAGGAGGGAGGGAGGAGGAGGAGGAGGAGGAGGAGGAGGAGGAGGAGGAGGAGGAGGAGGGAGGAGGAGGAGGAGGAGGAGGAGGAGGAGGAGGAGGAGGAGGAGGAGGAGGAGGAGGCGGGCGGCTGCGGTACCTCTGACCCCCGTTGTCGTCCGCCCGCTCGCTGCGTGTCACCCGCCCCCTGCCCCGGGCCTTGCCTCGTCGTGGGCCGCCCGCAGCTCGGCCCGCAGCACCTGCGCAGGCACTCTCGATCGCGCTTCCCGGGCCTGCTGGCGGGCAGTCCTGGCAAGCTGACGGCGGCGGCGAAGGTCAGAGGCGGCAGAGGTACATATACCTCTACCCTTACCTCGCTTTCCCCTTCTGGGCCTCCTGGGAGACCCTCGTCGCCACCGCTGGATTCGCCTCGAAATCCTGGTCAGAACGCGCACCCCGGGACAGGTCCGGGGAGTAGCGGTATCGGTACCCTTTGGTTTTCCCAGATAGGGGCGAATAGCCCAGGTGCGGGCATTACACGCATTCGCCCGGGAGCCTTCTCGAAGACATAGATCACCGGCGCCCCTGGATACATGTATTGTTTTCCCCTAGGCTATTCGCCCCTATCGTCGCCTCTGACGTTGACAGAGGTCCTCCACCGCGAAACCCAAGCGGCCCTTCACCGACCCTCCACTCTGGTATCGCTTTCCGATTGCAGCCCGCTGGTGGATTCCAACCACAGGAAGGCCCCGAGAATGGTTGCGCCCCATCCCGCCAGTGTCGTGAGCCATGACATTGCACGGGGCCCCGTGCGCACAACGGGGGCTCCATCACTCATTCCTCCGATCCCCAGCTTGCCTCCGCCCCGCTCACCCAGCCGAGCCTTGCGGGCGAAGACGGCTCATTCCCCTGCCATCGCAGAGCGCAAGCGCAGCAAGGCTGGACTGCGAACAACAGCCGCCCTCCGCCTCATCCCCCTGCAGCTGCGCAGTGCGCCAGTCAATCCAATGCGAATCCTGGGCCCTGGCGAAATCCAACACATCTCCCTCGCCGCCCCTTGGACAACTCCAGCTTCGCAGTGCCACTGACATGAGTCCGAAGCCTGCACTGATGACTGATGTCGCGCGATGCTAGAAGACTCCCGGATCGGGTCGGAGTAAATTGGGGTCGGAAGGTCGTGCCGCATTGTCGATGCACCGGCGACGTCGGCGATGCGTCGGCGACGTCGGCGAGAAGAACATCGGGCTCCGCATCGAACCGCATCGCCCATGCGTCGGCGACGCGGCGTGATCCTCCGACCCTATCTGCTCCAACCCCCTCTGGAAGGCCCACAAACTGCGCCGCGAGCATCACGCTTCGAACTCCGGGCTCGAGCACAAGATCAGTGAACATCGAATCGGTAAATCAGATTGTGTCGAATCGAACCGTGCATTGGACCGGGCTGCATCAGCACAGAAAGAACATCTCGGCCAAACCAAAACTCACCACAACGCCGTGCAAACCTCGGATCGCTTCGGGTCGTCGGGACACCGGAATCGGATCGTATCGGGCCGGCCACAAGCGTCATCGGATTTGGGGAAACCAAGAGGTACCGATACCGCTACTCCATGGACCTCTCCCGAGAGCGGTCTGACCAGGATGTCGAGACGAATCCAGCGGTGGCGATGAGGGCTTCCCAAGAGGCCCAACAACGAGAACACTAAGAATAATACAAGTATGGGTCACCGCGATAAGTCTTTAGACCCCCCCACGACTTGGAGATTAATTATCTGTTCGGCAACCCAATTGACGGACTGGGGCCTCATCAGTATTAGCGAGCTCGTACTTTTCCGCGACCACGACTACTTGAACGACTAAAGCCACGTGTACGGCGGGATGACCGGATGTGATCTGATATGGTGTGATATGAGATGATACGAGATGACAGATGATGAGATGATATGGTATAGGCTGATATGATATGGTGATATGATATTCGTTTCGGGGGCATCCTCTGCTGCACCTCCGAAGGCCAAATCGCCTCACTTGGCATTTGCCAGCCGTCGGAGCGGTCCTGCGGTGCCCGTAACGTCGGCACAGGGGATTTCACGCCTTGGGGTGGGACCTGCCAGCCAACAGGCGCAGTCCCCCCCCGAACGGTGCGCTCTCACTTGCAGTGCAATGCGTAACTACGCTGTGCATGGATACTGCCACTTGCTGCCGTAGTCCGTAGCCGTTCAAGGCGGAAGATGTTGCTGGCAGCCTCTCTTCCTACTACTTCTGCTGCTCAGGCCCGCGCAACTGCCGCTCCACGACCCTGGCGAATTCGCCCCTGGGCTCTGGAGCCTCTCCGGCGACCGCGCCCGCCGCCTCGAGCGCATTCATGATCACCCCCGTCAAGGAGCCGAGGGGCAGGATGTCGCCCTCCAAGTGCGCCTTCAATCGCTCGATCAGCATCGCCACGTCTGGCATCGGGTTGATGTTGACGTTCGCGTTGCCTGGATGTCCTTGTCCTCCGCGCCATCCTCGCTGTGCGCCTCCTTTCCTTTGATCATGCTGGATATCTCCTTCACGAACTTCGGCCCGCTCTCGTAGCTGAAGACGAGGCCCTCGCCCCCCTGGTCGCCACAGCCGCGATGTAGTCCTGGCCTCCCTGCACGACCTTCAGTGCCACCATGCTCGATTTCGGGACCAGGTAGAACACGCCCAGCAAGTGCTCGCACTCGCGAGACTTTTGGTTCTGTCCTCAGCCCCAGATTCTGCAACGAGATCACCGCGTCCACCAAATCGACGTCGACCTTTCCGGGTGCTCTAGCGCCGCGCGTGACCCTGTTGAAATTCTGCGGCGCGCCCTTGCCCATCGCGCCCTGGCCTTTCGCCGCTGGTGGTGCTGCGTCTCCGCCTAAGCCAGCGGGTGCAAATCCTCGCTGCGATCCACCTGAGGCTGCGACCGCCGCGCTGGTCACTTTCCACGACATCTGTGCTGGTGCGCCCCTGAGCCTTGCCGCCGACGTTCTCTGAGTCGCGAATGAAGCGAACCCGAGCGGGGCCATGCTGACGCAAGCAAATATGCTCTCGCAGCGCCTCTAAGCTTTGAGCCTGAACGTCACACGCAGGGCAATCCAGAGACATCGGTTGAATCACCTCGCGCCGCCACTGGCTGAACTCCACGAAACGCACCCCCTTGTCTTCAGGTGCCGGATAAGCGCGCTGTACCGCCACATCTTTGTTGCACGACGCACTGCGGCACCAAGGACATGGATTGGAAAATGCTAGCAACACACAATAGTGCTCTGACCGCGATCGCACATTCTGCGCGTAGTGGGCCCGCTGTGCGTGTTGCGCCGTGTTTCACAAATTTGATCCGTGCCGTCCTCCTCCTTTACCACCTCCTCGCATAGTGACGGTGTCTCCTCCTCCAGCTGCGCCACCTCCATCTCTCCCTCCAGGTCCATCATCCCGTCCTTCCAACTTTGCGTCGTGGTGAATGTGCGCAGGATATCCGCATCAGCGCGCATCCAACGTCCGCGATCCCTCGCCCCCCAGTGCAACCTTGAAATGTCAACTACCGTTCGCCGTACCGCGCCATGTCCTCGCAGTGGCCGCGTAGGAATTGAACGTTCTGCAAGACTTGAGCGGCACAGGGTGTGATGTGAGTGCTCGTTCTCCCCTCGGCAAGTCGCTGTGCGTTGTGTCTCAAACCGAACGGAGTCGAACCGAACGTGAGTGTCAGGGTGGGCCGCCCATGTGTTATACCACTTGAATCTGCGGATGCGTAGTTCCGCCGAAACACGATATATCCCGCCTTCCGGACGGCAGCATTGTTAGAGAACTGGTGAACGGATCCATCTGCTTCAGTCCAACAATTTCTGCCCTGCTGCGCAGTGTCGATGGCACCTGTCGAGCGTGGCTCAAGTGCCATGCGCACAAGTCCACTCAGAGCGGCGCCCTGAACGAAAGCGATAAACATCATTCTACGAACGTCCCTGGCCATGTCCGACTTCCAGAATACTCCCCCAATCCTCCACGCTTTGCAAGCAGCTGCAATCCACCTCCTATCTTATCCTTCCCAATTCCCCGTCGTGGGCGAGTGCGGCCCCAGCGCGCGCAGTTTACGACCTGTTGCGCCCGCGAGCTTGCTGGACTCGTGGCGCAGTTCCCTCGTCATCGCTTACGACCCTTTCCACTCGGACTCGATCTTGCTGCGGGCCGCTGCAAGCCAGGCCCCCGAAAGGAATACCCATCGGTCGGAAGAAGTTGGTAGAAACATGAAGTAGGAAGGCGTTGGAAATAGATTGGGTTTCCGCCCTCCTCCTGAAGAGGAGGGAAGAGGGACAACCACTCGACTCTTGAAGTAGGAAGGCGCTGAAAGTAGACTGAAATCTGGGAATCCAAAAATACCTACTTTCAACGACCGATGGGTACGAAAGCGGAGAATGCGAAGGTGGCGGGCGCGCGGCGCCGTCGCCGATGCTCCAAAGCCAGCTTCGGGCTCTGGCAGAACTGGGCTTCGTGGGCCCTGCCTGGCTTAACCCCAGGAAGCATTTCAGAACCCCCCCCGGCGATATCGTAGCACCGCATCTTTTATTCGATATTCCGAAGGGCCGAAACAACCGAGCGATAGCTGTAGCACCCGGACACGATGATGATGATGCTGATGATGATGATGATGATGATGATGATGATGATGATGATGATGATGCGGATATGGATGATGGTGCGGAAGGGTTATCGATTTGCCGGAGGGGGGGGGGTTCTTAAATGCTTCCTGGGGTTAGTGATGTGTGCTGGGGGACGCCCCCCCGCCCCGTTCCACGAACCGGAACTGCCGTCGCCTGCAAAAAAAACACCAGCTACGGCAGACCTGGTTTGGTGACTCTGGCAAATTTAGGGGCTCTGGGGCCCTACCACTAACCGGGTAATTACCCTTACCCGAGGCACATGCAAGGCCGACGCGACCGGCACGAGCGACCAGGCTCCCGCCAGGGCCGGCCGAGAAGCAGCGCGCGCAGCGGGGGCCACCCACCGAGGCTTCTCCCGCTGCACGGCCAGCACCTCCGCGCCGTCAGAGCAGCGGCAGAGCCGGAGGGGAAAACACACACACACAGACACAATTCATCGTCGATCCCCCAGAGAATATGGGAAAATATTGGAATTGGGCGGGAAGACAAAGACCCAGAAAAGATGGGAAAATGTGGGGAATCATTTTATTTGTGTGTATTTATTTGTGTGTCCTGGGGCCCCCTTGAGCAGAGCAGAGCACAATCCGACTCCGAGAGCTCCTTCGCGCCCGCGTCAAGAACAGAGCTTTCGTAAAAACACCTTCGCGCCCGAGGTTCAAGGGCCCGTCGACGCGACTGGGTCTAGGAAGGCATCCAACGAGTCCGCCGAGCAGATCTCCACACTGGGAGGCGGCTTCGAAACTGCATCGGCGGCCAATTCGGACTCCGCGAACAGTGCATCATCGCATCCAGGCTGCTGCAGTGACTCCGCCGAGCAAGCCGCCTCAACTGAAAGAGGCGGTGCCAAAACAGCAACGGCGGCAAGTTCGGAATCAACAAACAACTCATCATTCTACGCGCAAGGCATTGGCCCCGCCGTGCCAGCCACCTCTACCGAAGGAGGTGGCTCCAAAAGGGCATCGTCGGCAATTTCGGATCCTTCGCTGAGCAATTCGCCATTCTACCCCACATGCCCTCAGAAGCCAAGATGCTCTGGCGGAGTATCGATGGCAATTGCTGGCGGGCGCTCCTCAACCGAAACGCGAACCTCAACTGGGGGCTGAGCCGGGCTCAGCCAACCATGCACGCGAAGAAGAATATGCAAAAGAGGGGCGAGCCCCAGATGAAAGCCCAACCAAAATTGCAATTCAAGAGCGAAACTCAAGTGGAGGCTCAATTAAACAAATACGCGAAGAAGAACCGACAACTGAAGGGCGAGCTTCAGAGGGAGGCTCAGCCAAACATGCAATTGAAGAAACTCTTTGATTCTTCAGTTTCCTCCGCCGGCGCGCCCAGTCGCCGATGAAGAACTCCACGGCCTTCACCTCCTACTCGGCGGGGTGCGCACGGGACGGCTGGCGGCAGCGGCGGCGGCACCGACGCCGCAGCGCTGCTCGAGGCAGCCTCCGCCAGCGGGGGTGCCGGTGGCCACCCCTTCAGGACCAGCTTGGCCTCCCCCGAGCGGGCGTCATTATTCTTTTTCTTCTCCTTCTCCTCCTCCTTCTTCTTTTTCTTCTTCTTCTTCTTCCTCTTCTTCTTCGAATCATTATTATTATTAGTCCTCTTGTTGTTATTCTTCTTCGGCTTGCGTTTCCGGAGGCGCCTCTCCGCCTTGACCTCGGCCGCCGCCCGAGCCGCAGGCGGCGTGGGAATCCCTGCCACCTTGCTCTTCAGGATCACCTCTGGAGCAGCAGGCAGCTCCGGAGGAAGCGAGCGCACCTCCGGAGCTGCCGGCGATGCTGGGGGCATCTCGCGCAGGACCTCCGCACTCTTGACCACCGGACCCGCGGCGCCAGCGGCGCTGGCAGCATCGGGCGCGTGGGAGCCGCGCCTTCGGGCATCATCGGGAGGCGGTCCAACCTCTTCCAGCAGCTGAGTGGCTGCACCTCCGCCTCCAGCTCCAGCGCCATGTAGATAGTCGGCCCTAGTCGGCGCAATCAACAGCAAAGATGCCTCGCTCGGTAGACCCCAGCTCGGCCAGGCCCGTCGTTGTTTGCACCTCCGTGGGTACTTCGCCATTGCGTATCTAACCTTCCGTACCAAATTTCTGAAATCTACATCATCAAACAGCGCCAGGAGGATACCGCTCTCCTCGCAGTCGGCCTCATAGCTGACACGCGTAGCGCCCCACTCAACAATACTGCACGACATACCCCGCTCACCAGGCGGTCGATATAGCTCGTGAACCCGCTCGTTTTTGCTCCAATATGTTCGGCTAGCGTAGTAGTACCGCTGTTTGGGTCCCCTTCCATTTCTGGCGCATTCCACCCGTAGTGAATGCATTTCGGCCCACCTCTCAGCCAAGTACGCTTCCCATGATTCTGAAGCTAGTGCACGCTGTCGACATTCAGTTTCAGCGTTTCTCTTGGCCTTGAGTTCAGCCGATACCATGTTTAGTAGCTCCTGCACCTCGTCGAACGCCTCCTCCTCCAGTCCACTCCGACCTTCCAGCGGTCTGTGCGCAAAAACGTCCAGCGAAGCTGCGCCGGAATATCCTGAGGTGAACCCTCTCGCTTGACACCTCCCCTCCCCCTCCCGGAATCCACGCCCTCTGCCCAGCAGCGACATCCGATCCTCCCTGAGCTCCTGCTGCCACTCGGGCGCCTCCCGACGGCGCGGCGGGAACACCTTCTTCAAAGCCAGGGGAACAAAAAGTGGCATAGGGGCAAACAAACCTACCTCGCTTTTGACCACCCTCGCTTCCAAGAGATACCAAGCGATGCCAAACTACGGCATGTACTGGTCAGGCCGCTTGACGAGGAGGCGTATGGTATGACTTGATTTTGCCTGGAAGCGAAAGCGGCGTAGGTAATTCACGCTCTGCATAAACATAAAAATTCTGAGGTCCGCGCGGATTTCTCGGATCGGCGCTGGACCCCCCTCCCTGGCGCGCGGAGCGCGCCAGGGGCGGCGCCGGAGGCGCCGCCGGGGGGGCCCCAGCGCCGATCCGAGAAATCCGCGCGGACCTCCGAGTTTTAATGTTTATGCCACTTTGTGTTCCCCGAAAAGCACTTCGCACCGCTCCTCCGAGCAGGTCCCGCAATCGGCCGGGCGAGTGGCGAGCTGCCGCCTCCCTCTTACAGCCTCCTCCGACGTCGCCCCTGCCGCCTCCCCCGCCCGGGCCGAAGAGCTCTGCCCTCCTCACTCCGTTTGCAGGCAGCGCTTGACCATGCTACGATCGGGCTGTGGTGTGTGGAACGGGCGGAGGACGAGGAGGAGGAGGAGCAGGAGGAGGAGGGGGGGAGGAGGAGGACCGGGAGGAGGAGGAAGAGGAGGAGGAGGAGGAAAAGGAAGAGGAGGAGGAGGAGCAGCAGGAGGAGCAGGAGGGGCGAGCTTTTTCCCCGCCGAGAGAAACGGGGGGGGGGCAATCACTGAAGACCTCCTGGAATTACCTCCTCCTCCTCTTTCTCCTCAGGACCGGATCGGACGCGGCCCCCAGCTCGCGGCACCCTTTCTGCGATTGCACCTCCCTGGGTGGCCAGGGAGGCG